TCAAAATGCTTACTGTTATTCTCATGGACTCTACTTTTCTTCATTTTCTGCTACTATTATTGATGATTTTTCAATGTTCCATAAGGTTCACTGCTGTCATTTTTCTATAACTTTGACTTAAACACAAAGTTACTTGCATGAAGGTAAGTCTTGGCTTTTCAGTATTAATGCAACAATTAACTCAGTGGAAATCCATCTATAGTATACCACAGACTAAGCAGATACCAAGCAGTTTTCTTGGTAAAAGATGGAATTTTTTAGGTGTAATGGAGACAGATGAACATAGAATTTTTTTATTCCATTTAGTGACATTTTCTCAACCTCATGTGGAGAAATATACATGTTCAGATAACAATCAAAAATATCACTTCAGAGATCTTTTAAAATATGAAAAGCAGCTATCAGTGAAGAATGTGACTATGTCACTAGGAATGAAGTAGTGATGGAGGTTGTTGTATAGGTAGAGAAAAATAAAGAACTTACGCTATTTAAGACAGGACAACATGAAAAGGGATGTAATGGGACCAGCATAGGGATCTGCTGGTTATGTACCTTCCTACGGCACATTCTACCAGGAATGTATTCCTTCTGTGGTTCTGTTGATTTCTGATAGAGGGTCCCAGTGATGCATGCTTAATTTCATGCAAAATTTGTCTGTGGATGTAGGTGAGTTCATTGAGACTGATTAATTTTCGTCTTCCTGTAACTGCACGACTGTATCTGTCTTTGTGCGCTAAAAGTGAGTCCCCACTGTTATTTCTTAAAATAAACATACAAGATTCTGTTTTTTCTTGCTTTTGCAATTAACGTGCTAGACATGATTATACATAAAATGCAGATAAAAATTCATTCATCTCTAATTATATGATCTCATTTGGCATCTAAATTTAGGACAAGAAATCAGTGATTAAATTTTCTTTCCAAGTCTTTGTTTATCAGCTACAGAACAAGCTTAGTAATTACCTCTTAGTTATTGTGAGAACTTTGACTTCAATATTACATTCCTAATTGGTTTTAGTTAAGGAAATTTGTTTTTATAGATCACTTAGCTGACTCTTTCAGGCTGAGTGATTCTCCATTGTTTTCAGTGCATAAAGGAGGGCCTATAGAATATGTTAAAAGAAATTCATATTGTCCTATTGGTACATACAATAGGATACATACAATAAGCATACCTGAGTACACATAACCTTTTGCTCTTATATGAGAAAATGTTTTATAAATATTCACAGAACAACCCAGCAGAGATCTGTAGTGTACCAGAAACTGCCAAGAGCTTCATTTTCGAATTAAAATTAGTTTAACTTTATAACTGTGCTGAGATAAACCCATCCCATGTGTGGAAACATCATATTTATCTTCCAGTCTATAGTGCAGTCAGAATCTGAATGTCTTTAACCACTACCTCACAACTCTGTTGTTAGGTGAATTGTATGCCTGGAGCTGAATTAAACACAGGTGTGTGCTTAAATATAAAAGATTTAATGTATGATGCACTCAACAGTCTTACCATCATAAGCCATTCTACAGGGAGTCTGCAAAGGTGAGGCATGAGCTGATTCCTTATGCACACTTGCAGCAGCAGCACTCCCATGATCATCAGCGTTGGATCCATTTCCCAGCCCAGTTCTGCTGCCTAAAATGGCCCCTGAGCATTCATGTCCACGGTGGATGGATTGCTACAGGATAACACTGTGATGTACCTCATGACCAAGGGAAACTTCACTCCCTACAGGGCGTCCTTCTGTCCTGTTATTCCTACAACTAGCCCGTTAAAACCTTTCTGCAGCTGGACCTTCTTGTCCTCAACAACAGGTCATTCCTTGGTCATAAATTACCAATGCTGAGCAGCTAAAATTTGATTTTCCCCTTCACTCTATTAGATATGCACATAACTCTTGTAATCTGACCATGTTTGCCAGATTTTCAGAGGATCAGCAGAATGGCAACTTTATGGCAGAAGGCTACTCTTTCAGCTTCTAAGCATGGGGACAGAAGAACTATAATCTGACAACACTTGATAGAAACTTTCTACCAACTACCTAATAACACAGGGTTTTGTTTTGTTTTTTTTTTTTGTTTTTTTTTTTTTGTTTTGTTTTGGGTTTTTGTTTTTTTTTTTTGTTTTTTTTTTTTTGTTTTGTTTTGTTTTGTTTTGTTTTGTTTTGTTTTGTTTTTTGGTTTTTGGTTTTTTTTTTGTCCCCCACTGTATCTTGGTTGTCTGAAGAGGTTGAATCATTTGCATAGAAATTTTTAAAATCCTATGATTTTAAACCAGGTTTTCTTCTGCTGTCTTACTTTCAGACAGATGAGATCTGGAAAACCTTTACCAACTGAACAGTCTTGCTTTGGATACTTCATGATTCATCAAAGTACCTCTTGTTCTGACACTGATACTGATCTGTCTCTACTCCATCACTGGTATAATTTTGTTTTGAAGAGTTATTTGGTCTTTCTTAGCAGACAGAAGAGAATCCAGTGATGGTCCATGAACATTGCTCTTTGGAATAAACTAATCCCATCACCTGATGTGTAACTGCTTCCTATTTGTTTTACAAATCAGGATTTCTATTTTTGCATTTGAACAAACTGTGCCAAAAATGAATTAATTACTTCTTGAGATGAAATAAATTGACTAGGTGCATGAAGTAAGTTGGTCTCTTGTGAGATCATTCTAAGTGTATGAAAGTTGTGAGGGTTTTTTGATCAAATAAATGTTTCAAAATATATGCAAATTTTAACAACTGATGTGTCTTAGTGAAGTGTAGTGCAGTCATCACTGGAGGGTTTCAGCTACTGTCACATGAGTACTCCTGAATTCAATGTGGTTGTGTCAACAATTAGACAAATCCATTATAGTAAAAAATAAGATAATTGGAGATTAAGGACCAGGAGTTGTGAGGTCACTGGTAATCTTTATCTCCATTGACTTCAACTGGATACAAAGAAAGTTGGCATTTTTTTTTATCATTAGACATTCCATCAGCTGAAGTTTAAACCACCGTTATGATGTTAGTTCTGAATGATTGAAAAGCATTTTATAGGCAATATGAAGCAAGAGTTGTGGGTTTTTTAAAAGGACATCAGCAAAAGATCTATTTGGGAATATGTACTTAAAATTAGAGGTCTGTAATGTACTGCAGAAAGAAACCTTAAAAAGAAGCTTGACAACTCACTGAGTTCTCTGTTTATGAGGTTGTACAGAATATATATTCTATTAAGTAAGAATTACAGCTTAAAAATTATATTATGCAAGTGCTTCCTATTTTTTGTAGTGGAAGGCATTTTTCATACTATTACAAAAACTGTCAGTATGCTTACCCAAATCATTTCACTTAGAAGGATGATCTGCTTCCTTGAAATTAATACATTTGTTTCAGATTTATTTTCAAGATGATTAATTAAAATAAGCAAATTTTAGGGGCTTTTTTAATTTATTTTTTATTTTTCTGCAACAATACTTATCTAAGTTTGCTTACTTATGTGCAGGTTAATGCAGTTGAAAATATTTGTCAGAAGTTTCAGTGTCTTTAAAATTAAATAAATGCTAGCATGTTGATCTGTACACAGAGAAAATTACAGTTTCAGTACACAGAAAAATCAGAACTTAATTCTCATAAGCCATAAGTCAAGTTGTTGAAGCTGGGAAAAATACCCTTTTCTTTGTGCTAGCCAATAAAACAACAGGTGTAGAAGCAAAGTTACTTTGAAGGTTGTATCATGTGTAAGAAGCGATCTACAGAGATCATTTAATGGCATGAATCTAAATAAAATATCTTGGATGATCTCTGTAAACTTTGTGTTTTGCTATAAAGCAGATAAACTTGTGAAAATAAGTTGAATAGGATGGTTGTACTACCTATATTGTAATAAGGCAAGCTCTGTAGTAGAATAACAGAAGAATACTTGGACTACAGCTTTATCATATTTTAAGGGTGACAGGTAAATTCACACTTCCAGAAAATTGGATGTAGTAAGTCCAAAGTGTTATGCATTAAGACATTTTCAAAGGGATGGAATATTTTCAGGCAGTAATTTAAAAAAATATATACCAATGCTATATAAATACATATATAAGTCTGTATATATATACAAAGATATAATTAGATGTTTATAAATATATATCTAGAGAAGAGCAAGGGATGGCAAGGACAGGATACCATAGGAGTGAGCCTCTTCCTAATCTCCCAGAAAAAAATATACTGGCATAATCTGTTTGTCAATGGGGCTTTAATGTTTTGAACTCAAGGGATTAAATAATTAAGTACTATAAATTGCTATTACTTTTCTGAAATCATTGTAGATATAGAGGAGAAAGGATCTGCACCAGTGATTCTTCCACAATAGGGTATGAAAGAGTGTGATATCTTTCACATATGTGCAAAACAGGAGTTAGAATGAGAAAAGGCTTATTCACGTGTTCCTCTGCAAAGCACAGTGTTCCCAGTGCTCTGTCTATAATGCTTTGTCCAATGTGCTGACACCAGTGTTGTTAAACCAAAAGTCCAACTGTTATACTCCCCTTCATTCCAAAAAAGCTGAGTAAGAGGTTGGTGCTAGGTATTTATTTTCTGTCATCTGTAAGATTAGTATTTATTTTTGAAGAGTTTGTTGGTTAACTGCTGCCGCAGTAGCCAGAATCAATGCTACAGAGGGACTACAAAATACAGTTGATACCTGCTTCATAAAATAGTTGCTTTAGAAAGATTTCTTGCTAGGCTCTGTAATACAAAATGAGCTGAAATCCAGGCAGGAAAGCTGGAGTGGGGACGAATGTATATTATAGCTAGCCTGCTTCTTGGAAACCTCAAAAAAGGAACTGGGGGACTGAAAAAAATGCACTGATCTCTTGAACGTACCAGGAAATGAGAAAGGAGCATGGTACTTGGTACTAAAGAAGCTTGCAAACTGCACTAAGTAAAAGATTTCAAATTACAGGAATTTTTATCCTAAACTAAATTATTTGTAATAATTGTAACAGGTGAATTTTATTTCCAAAGGTGCAGTGATCGTCTCTAGGACTTGAATGCACTAAGTCGTAAGGTATGTTATTTATAATTTCTATGATAAAATAAACAGATTTGAATATGTCTTCTATTATTGTTCGTAGTTATGTTGAAGACAGTTAAACATTGAATTGTTTTAGTCTTATGTTTACAAATGTTAGGAATCTTTTTCTCTACATGGAAAAGGTGAGATGTATGTAAATTTTGTTCTTTTGGTTGGTAAGTAGGTCACAGATCATATATATGTCATTATTCTTAAATGGATGGAACAGCTTTAGCTAATTCATGGACTGATAAGTCTTGTCCTATTTGTC